TGAAGAATTGTGAGCACTTTGAGCACGACCAGATGGATCTTCAGGACATCCTTTTTATGTTGCAAAGAAAATAATAATAAATCAATATGAATGATTTCAAAAAAAATAAATAATAAAATAACTAAAATATCTAATAACATACCCCAATCTCTCCTTGGAATCCATCTTACTACACTTTCAGTACAATGATCTCCTGGGAATAAACTTTCAAATTGATCTCTGTACCAATAGGCTTCTTTAGTTTGTGGAGGATCTTTAGACCAACGTTTGGAAGCATTCGTTAACTGCTCATCAGTCACGGATTTTTCGCTAATATCACGGAGAGAATCAATCCAGCCATAGCCAACACCATCAGAAAATTGTTCCTTTTGACGCCAGAGAATCGAATCGGGTAGATAAGGATGAGTATCACCCGTTGTTGAAACATCAAATGCTTTGCGAAGGATGTACTGTCATTTCATATAAAACAAATATTAGATATATATATGCATTAGCATTAATAAAATGGATTGTAAAAAACAAACATAAAACTCACCTTTTCCATTTTTCCTTCTTTAGGCATCTTTTCTTCTGGATCGATCGTCATCACAACATCAAGGAAATCTTTATCCAAGAATGGAACTCGAGCCTCAAGTCCCCAGGCCATTGTAGATTTATTGGCACGTAAGCAATCAGAAGTGTGTAAGTTCTTTACACGTGTAACAGTTTCCTTGTGAAAATCTACAGCAGATGGTGCGTTATGGAAATATAGATAACCTATAGATAAATGTATTTGATAATAAATTAGTGTTAGTAAATTACATTGTCATTTTCTATTTCAATGTTTTAACATATTGGAATTGGATCTATATAATGTAGTTTGATACCATCTCAATGGCATTTAAATGTCAATGATATTTTAATGTTATTTATGTCATTCAATGCCATCTTGACGTCACTTGACAACACTGATAGATAGACACTATCATATAATAAAATTAATACCTCCGAGCATTTCGTCGCTTCCTTCACCGCTTAAGACCATCTTAACGCCCATTCCACTAATTTTCCTCGATAATAAATACATTGGAGTGCTAGCCCTAATAGTTGTTACATCATAAGTTTCCAAATGATGTATGACATCGTGAACCGCATCGAGACCCTCTTGAATAGTGAAGGTATATTCATGATGATTAGTGCCAAGAAATTCAGCAACTGAACGTGCAGCTATCAAATCTGGAGATCCGGGAAGTCCAATAGAAAACGAATGAATCTTAGTCCATGTAGTTACAACACCTGTGAAAACAAAAAAAAAATAAAAAATTAAGCAAATTTTAGATATTTAAAAATTAAGCGTAAAGAAGGTATTTATTAAAAATTTCAACAACGCTTACGTTCGTCAACTTCATTATCTTCAATACCATCATGGGAAGCAGCTAATTTAGCAGCCTCCCTCGTTGCGATTGCAGCGATTAGACTGGAATCCAGACCACCGCTCAATAAAACACCAAATGGAACATCACTCATTAGTCTTTTTCGAACAGCTCTCTCCAAAGTTTTCCTTAATAGGGTGTAATCAGTTGGAGTAGTTGGTATAAAATCGCTGTCCCACCATATAGGTTGATAGTATCTTGTCGTCTCACCGGTTAAAGAGTCATATATATGGCCCGGAGGAAATGAGAGGATTTTATCACAATCATCTTGAAGTGATTTTAACTCCGAAGCGAAATAGACTGTACCGGGAGAAGATGATGACCAACCTTGATAAAGGGTTGTAATACCGATAGGATCACGTGCGGCAATAAATCGATTTTTATTCGTGTCGAGAAGGACAAAGGAAAACATCCCGTCAAGTCGTTTAACAGCATCAATTCCTATTTCAGCATACTATTAAATCAAAAAATAGAAAGTCAAATTAGATCATTTAAGATAAAAAATGAATGAAAAATAGATAAATATTTAAATTTGATCATTACCAGATGAAGAATAATTTCACAATCTGACCGAGTCTTGAATTGTGTACCGTTTTTAAGTTGTTTTCTCAAAATCTTATGATTATAAATTTCTCCATTGACAGAAAGAATTATGGATTTGTCATTATTAGTGAGTGGTTGAGCCCCACTTTCTGAAAACAGATACGAAAAATGGCGAAAAATACATTAACAAAAGAAAAAAAAAGAGATCAAATTATTTTATTCAAAAATTCTTTACATACCAACACCAACTATAGCTAACCGTTCATGGCAAATAATATTGTTACTGGAAATTTCACACCCACTCCAATTAGGACCTCTATGTCTTATCCTAATTTAAAAAGTTGAAAGGATATCAGTAAGCTAAAGTTCTAAAAATACTAGATCGGCCAATTTGATATGAAAAAAGTAAAACCTTTTAGAAAGTAATAAGGCTCGCCGGCGAAAGCCGTTGACGTCACTGGGATAATTAAAAACTGCGAAAATACCACACATGTTCTAAAAAAAAAAGACCAACATTCAGCTTTTTTCAAAGATAGTAATAACTGACAGCTTCTCAGACAAATGAAGAAACAAAGCTTAGGTACACACTTAATAGAATCTTCCGCAATCGAGAGTATAATAAAAGCAATGGTATATCACTAGTTTAGAAATGCGTAATCGAGAATAGTAAAATACAAGCGAGATAGCTTAAAATATGAATGCAACACAATTTATATATGGTTTTACAGGTAGCACATATAATGACGCACTCTGTATCATACCTTGAACAATTTTATTAAAATTAATTGTTCGCACAAATGATTTCATAATAAACATTTTAAAATAGATAACAATAGAAACTTTATCTATGAATTCCAGATTTTGTGTATACGTATCGATATAAAATAACAAATCCCTTAACATTTAACAAGCATTTAAGTAGCGAAGAGCATTACCATAATTACATTCGGAATAAAATACAACAGATTTTTGTCATTTTATATCCACATATATAACCACAAAAAGTATAAAACATATATCGATATGATGTATATCTAATAATGTGAACTAGAAAATCTTAAACTACAATGGTTAATTACACAAGATTGTTGATAAGATTTTACGATAATCAATAACCGAATATCTACCTCGGTTGTATCCATTTTTACCTAATATATACATTGCAATTTAAACCAATTTAGTCTATAATTATTTAAAATATGGTACTAACACTATGGGATCACTGTTTGTCCGCCATGCGTACTTGAAGCTCGGTCCGGGTATATATTTCTGGGAACAATCCAATTAGGGAGTAACCCTGACAATATTTGCGTTATCTATGTGTTGTACATGAGAATAAAATCTAAGGGTAGAATTCTATTCATTTAGTATTTCTGTTCGGTTGCATTCAGTTCATAGAAAGATATTCATCCAATTAGATAATTTGGCTATTTTACGTTAAACAAACCAATATACGCATGAATAAGTAGCGGAACTGCAGAATTGAATCCGTAACTTTCAACATAGTTTCAAGATACAGCAGATCTGTACGGTATGCGTGCACAGCATTCATTCTAAAAACCATACTAATTCCTAACTGACATGGGGCTTTTAAAATGAGTATTTTTTACACTTCCATACCATAAGATCAATCTTATCACCTCATACAATACTTTTAAACCACCAATTTAAAAATTATACTATTCTGAACCGGATTAAAAATCGGCCTGATAAATTAGTTTTGTAATACTATTTTCTAATAAATCTCGATAAACCCTATTCCAAAACTGGTTTATTTGATTATGGATTATATTTGTAATGGTATTACACTTAATGCCTGGACCGTAGCACCGTAGCGAAGGACTCTCAATTATTACGTAAAGTGATACAAATAACATTTTGACGCATCTTAATCAACATGATCATATCAGAAACGTAATTGGAATTTTTTATTGTACAAAAACACGTTGTGTAATATGATTTTCATTATGTGATAGGTACCGAACTCATAGCGATAGTGCTACTATATACTGTATATACTACAGTAATACTAATATAGTAGAAAAGTCTATACCAAACTCCTTATAAACTGCCTCAACAATATTTTATTCAAATATAACATTCTCTCTCCATTTAACTATGTTGCCCTTCCTGGCAATTCTACATCTATCCCCATACATATCCTCAACAATATTTTCAAAGATTCTTACTGCCAATCTAATCAACTCTGGCTTCTTTTACAAGATATGAGTAAAGCCTACCACTCCGTTAACTTTAAACTCTTTCAAAAATCTTTATATAGGCTTCAAATACCCCAATAGCTTATTAATATTTTTCTCAATATCTTTTCTAATTGTACTAACCATGTTATTACCAATCTTGATCTTACCAATTTTTACTCAGTTAAAAATGGTATTGACTAAGGTAAAACTATTACCCCTTTTTTTTAGAGAATCTACTATAACTCTCTTATTTTCCATATTTCTTCAAACTTTTCAGACTATACTCTTTCTACCTCTTGGCAATTTTACTTTACTCTCCTGTCTTTTAACTACTATCATATCTCTCTATAAATTCTAGCCTATATGGATGATACAATTTGGATTACCCAATCTAAAGAAGAACTAAATAAGATTATTAATATTGTAATCTCTTTTTATAATATAGCCAATATACAAGTTAACCCTTCTAAATCTATATTTATTTCTAAATACCCATCTGCATCTATTTTCTTTTTGAACTTCAATCTTCTATCTATTCCAATTCATCAACTCTTCAAATTCCTGGGTTGTTGGTTTACCCTTAATAATAAGCAAATACAACAAATTAAGCTTATCCAAGATAAAGCTCTTCAGTTAGCTAACATTGCTAATACCAAAACTATCACTGACAAACAAATCTCATATATTATCAATACTGTCATCATCTTAACTACTGAATACCATATTTAGAATATTGTTATCCCTTTCTCTATCTGCAACAAAATGCTTAACAAATACTTAACTATTGCTAAACATAAATCTCATCTTTCTCAATTAACTCTTAATAGTACTATACTCAACTATAATCTTTATCTCTTAAATTGTGACACAGGCAAATTTGCCTGTGTTTTTATTAAAAAGTTTAATTTTTTTAATAAAAACTTATATATTAATTTTAGCTAT